GCCCTCTGGTTTGGCAATCAATCAATATGTGTACCAGAACGAATGTTTGAAGAAAATTTTGATCCCGTTTCTACAAAAACATCATGCTGATGGACAATATGTGTTTTGGCCGGATAAAGCGTCATCGCATTACGCCAAAAAAACACAATCGTTCCTGAATACCCATTCGATCCCATTTGTACCCAAAAACCACAACCCGACAAATCTGCCTCAGTGTCGCCCAATCGAAGATTTCTTCGGGGTTGCCACGAAATGCAAACAGTTGATTGGTAGAATCAAGAGATGCATTCGCAAAGTTGACATGAACGCTCCTGTTCCGACATCAAACGGAAGCTTCGCCGAACATCCGATTACGGACCGTTTTCAAATGTTCACTATTTTTTTTCAACAATGGACAATGTATCTTTAATTTCAATAAATCAGATCTTCTTCAAGTATGTTTGTCTTTTTTTGACAGCTTGAGAAATAAATTCCAAAATTTTAGTTGCCACCCGTTAAACGAAGCAAAGCGTTTGCATGAAGACACGTTCCGGATCGCCATTTCTGCATCATCAATTTGTCGAATCCTTCGCCAGGAAGGGCTTAGCTGGAAAGCACTCGAGACGCGAGCTATTCAAATACGTAGACGTCGTCCGGTTTGCCTCAGAAATGAGTGAAATCAAATGGGATTACCGTGCGGGACCGAAATCCGTACACCTAAGCACAAGAGAATCATTTACGGTCAATACTAAATAATGCTATCACATTATGCTCTGTATCACATCTTTTTCCTTTACATTTATCTTTATTTTTCCAATATTTGCAAACACCAGGTCTTAAAATTACCTTCAATTATTAGAAAAAAGGATTTAAATTGCACATATCTTGAATCAAAATCCGTACAGCGTTTTACGATTGAATCAAAATCCGTACAGTTTTGAATCGAAATCCGTACACTGTGTTGAGGATGAATCAAAATCCGTACAGTCATGAATCAAAATCCGTACATGAATGTAAATCGATCCAAATCAATGAAAAAAAAACGTGTTGCTATCTTGAATAAAGTATTTTTTTTTGTAGTTGCTTGGCTAAGAGTCCAAAACAGCTATATTCGTTTAAATACACTAGTTTACAGCATATTTGAACTTTGTACGCTGATGGTCATTTCCCATGTAAAATCGTGCGCTGAATCCAAAAATATAGTCAAAAAAAATCTCGGTAGGATAGTTTTGAAGATATAGGGGTAAGAGAGGCATAGTGAACAGGTGGGGCATAGTGAGCATCGCGTGTGCTCCAGCTTGGACTTTCGGCCGTTCAGAACAAATTTGTTGGCTGTAGGATCAATATCTTAATGATATTGATCCTACTACCAGTTGATTTGTTTCATGCAGTTGGAGATCCAGAGCCAAAGTACGGGATGCTCACTATGCCCCGCATGTTCACTATGCCCCTCCTTCCCCTAGCTAAAAAATGAAATCTCACGTTAAAAAAAAACTTAAACACAAATATCTCTGGCTGCAATGAAGTGATATTATTTATTTTAACGCCAAATTAAACGTGATAATTTTTTTTTTTCGATCGTTATAACACTATTTTTCCGTGAGAGTAATGGTAGAACCACCATAAACATTTTAATTAACATTGCTTAAAAACTTAGCAGAAATTCAATTTTTCTTAGGAAAACTTAAAAAACAAACTATTAACTAACAACAATACCATCAATCTCACTGACAATTGATGTTCAATTGATCGAACGAAAAAAATTCTTACCTCTAATTTAGCGTTAAAATAATTGATATAATCTCATTACAACCGGAGATATTTGTATTATAGTAATCAAACTTGTTTAAAGTGAATTTTCATTTTTAGCTGTATCTCAAAAACTATCCTACTGACATTTTTTTCGACTACATTGTTGAATTCAGTGCACGATTTTACATAAGAATCATTCTTCAAAGGTTCAAGTTCATTTTTTTTTACTTTTAATTTTTTAACTAATGATATCAGCGTTAGATTAATTGATGCTCCAATCGATTCAAAGGAGAGGTAACTGAATTCTTTTTATTTAAGAAGGTAACTGTTCTGGAGTTTATGCTAACTAATATCATGTTTAAGGATTAATTTCTTCCAAATTTTATTCTTTACCAGTGCTTTGGGTTAAATATTTTTACTGGAGTTTTCCTCCGATCAAAACTTCGAGGTTTTTGAAATTTGACATGTGATAACGTGCAAGATGCGCCATACTTTGGAACTCCATCAACTCACTGGCATCAAGCGATAAATTAACCGGTTCCTAAGATGGTAGCCCTATAATGGCGGATAAGTAAAAGAAAAATACAACCATCTTAGAAACCAACAAAAAAAGACAATGAACTGACATCAAGGATTAGTTTTTCGTTTTGTGCATGAAAATTAAAATTGGTAAAATAACGACTATAACTTAATTTAATTTGATACGTCAAGAGAGTAATAATCATAAAAATACAGATCTTTCATTGCTTCTTTTCCACAGCTTTCTTCTGCTTCTTCTCCATTGTTACCATTGCCTTTTCATGTTATAATGCTTTCTTGCTTCCAAGCCTAATAAAAATAACCATAATAGAGAGCTTAACGACGTGTTCGGGGTATCATCCAAACCATTTGTGGGAAAGTTTACCCATCCGGGATAAAGTTCGTTCATGGTATTCGTTTATTAGGGAACTTTCTTTGCTCTTCTTCCTTTTCTTCCTCCTCTTCCTCTCTCGCTCAACCTTTTTCTTTTGTCGTTCCTCAATCCTTTGTTTCTTTGCGTTCTCTTTATCAATTTTCGCCCGCACTACTTTCATGTGTATTTCCGGTCATTCCTCGCTGGTAGCTTGGAATGCTCTCTGGCCCATTTCTGTCTGCTCTCTGTAAGGGAGCATCCAAAAATGACGTAGCATATTTTTGATCAATTTTATACTTCTCCCCCTCCCTCGTAGCGTATTTGGCTATATCCAATACATGGCCGGTCACAAATTCTGAAACCCTCACCTCCCCCCTCAAATGCTACGTCATTTATGCATGGTCCCGAATTTGTATATGCGTGTTGGTGATATCCTGTAGGGGAGCTGCGTTGTTTTACTTTTCGGCTGGTTCTTGACGCTCTTCATTAAAAGATATTAATAATATAACATTTACAATACGAATAAAATAAGAGAGTAGCGATTCAATACGGCATCTCTTATGGTGGTGAATTGAACGGCAAAATCCCTGGATGCTTCTCGGTAAGATTTCTCCGCACGCATCATTGCCACAGTCTTCTCAAAATCCTCCGGCGTGTATTTAGTTTCCATATCTGCTGAAAAACATTGGATAAAGTAGAATCGTCATTAGTGATGCACAAGTGTACGGATTTAGAATCAGCTGTTATATATGGATCGAAATCCGTACAGTACTAATTTTGATAAATAAATACCATATGAACGATCCATTGCTTAGAATTGAGATATAAAACGATAAACACTAACCTTTTCGATCGACCTTCAGGAAACTACTTGCAAAAATCACTTAAATACGCTTAACAACTGGAAGTAAATCCGAGACATTTTCTTAGAAAATCGTTAAGAGCGCAACCGATTGACAGAAATGCCCGACACGTGATAAGGTTTTTATTTTTCTTATTTTAATTGCATGTTATACTGCTTAATTGTTGAAGTAAACATCAAGCTGATGCATGAATGAACATGAATATGTATTCATGTATAATATTTACATTGTTATGATGCATATAAATAAACAAATTCAACAGGGTGTACGGATTTCGGTGCTGTACGGATTTCGGTCCCGCACGGTATCAAAATTTAATCTTCCTGGATGAAGTTAGTTTTGATAATAGGTCAATGCTTAGATCTAGAGGATACGGAGTAAGAGGCGAACGTTTGATTTGTAGGGGTGAGTTTGTCAGAAAACCCAGAATGTCACTGTTATGCTTCGTTGGACAAGAAGGGTTAACTGGAGCATTCTCGATAGAAGGGAATTTTAACAGAGCAAAATTTTTCGAATGCTGTAGAAAATTTGCTTTGGAATCTGGAACGGTTCAGTGCTACCCTGGGTTCCATTCTGTTTGGATTGCGACGCTGCGATAATTTCCTATCTCCGGTCATTGGGCATTTATGCCATACACCTGCCATCCTACTGCCCTTTTTTCAATCCGATAGAATTTGTATTTGGAATGATCAAACGAAAACTGAAGAGGACGTATCAAGAGAACCACAATGAAAATATTGATCTAGCAGTGACGGAAGTATTAACAGACTTCTCGAAAATTCTCACCAAACTGTAGTGAGTTTGAGCTTCAAGATTTTTTCTGTACGCCCAAACACGAACCGAAACTTCCATCACTGCTGGCAGTTTGTAAAATCAATATCATGCTTGATATTGTATTCCAATATCACGCGTGATATTGGGAGCCCTTGAGAGCGAATTGAAATCATTTGAGTGAGGATTATGCCATCACGCTTTCAAAACATTTCAGAACTGACCACTAGGAGCGCTGGTATAAAATATACTGTGTTTCCGGATTCTAACTGAAGCACACTTTATTATAGCGTTAAAGCACTAAAATTTTCCTCAATTCCTAAGAAACAAACGGTAACCCGAATGGTAAAATTATTCCACAAATATTGTTTGGTTATTCCATAGTAATTGCCATATAAACTTCAATTGGTTTGTACACAGTAAGTTTTTAACCTTTTGAGTTCAAATTATTGGAGAATGACCGAAACGCGATTTGGGACCGTGAAGCAATGTGGAGCACCCGGACACAACCTAGTGAGATAATCTTCAACTAAGCTGGCCACCAATCAAGAGTGCCTGCATTATTTTACCAAAGACACCGAACCATCTATCGGGTCGAGATCATAAGATCGCACAATCATTTTCCGTGAATGATCAACTTTTTGCATGTGTCGGCGTTGCGTGTAAAGCATGGAAATCTATACAGCGCAACGTATTTAGATCCTTCATACGATAAGATATACTTATTTTTTTCATTCCATCAGGCATTGTGATCAAATTCTCCGGCGAAGCGGAAACCAAATGGAGCCAAACGGAAACAAAGACCGACCAGGAAGGCAAACAGTATGAGTCGACAACCAACCTTACCGGTCAGGAGGAGTACTTCCAGATCCAGTATTATCTGCTGGGAGGTAAGAACAGCAAAGAAATCGATTTGGACGTCGGAACCCACAGCTATCCGTTCACCTGCGCTATGCCTCCAACTCTTCCTTCTTCGTTCGAAGGCGAATGGGGCTTCGTCCGGTACACGATCAAGGTCACTCTGGATCGACCGTGGAAGTTTGACCAGGATATCAAGATGGCCTTTACCGTCATCTCACCGGTAGATCTTAATTCGAATCCCCGTGTCAAGGACCCCTTTAAACTGGAACTGGAGAAAACATTCTGTTGTTTCTGTTGCGCTTCCGGTCCTTTGAGCGTGATCGTGCATATTCCGGTGACCGGATTCGTCTCCGGACAAACGATTCCATTGACGATCGAATGTGACAATGCCAGTAATGTTGGAGTCGAATCGGTCAAGTTGATTCTACGCAAACTGCTGGCCTTCCATGTGCTTACTCCACGTCGCGAAACGAAGAAGAAGAAGGAAGTTATCTCGGAGATTTCTGTTGGTCCGGTTGAAGGCGGAAGCAGCCGAACGTGGAATCAAAACATTCAGATACCGCCCCTACCGCCATCGAATCTGGTCAACTGCGGTATCATCGACATAGACTACGATATCAAGGTGGAAACGGTCGTTTCCGGCCCGCACGCCAATCTGGATGGAAACATCCCGGTCGTATTGGGAACAGTACCGCTGAGTTCCTTCCAGCCACCGCCACCGTACACGGATAATCCTCCGGAGGTGGATCCCTCGATGTTGCCAACACAACCGGTAAGCCCGGCTAGTCCTCCGAATGGTGCCGGTGGAGCTCTTGGATGGAATATCGCCGATGGCGGAGATAGTTTATATCCCAATATTCGTGAGTACTTGGTTGAGAAATTAATTTATTTGATGTTCAATTTTGATCCTCTCTTTCTTCAGCACCTCCTACCTTCGCGGAAGCCACGTTCAAAGCACCAAACATCTCTAATAAAAATGATAGCGAGTTTACCCGATTTGTAGGCCCAGCGGAGTACGCTCCGCGCTATCCAACGTACGCTTTTTCGCCATCAGCCCCGCCAGTGGATCTGTAGACTATCTACACAATTTATGTGTATTTAAATGCGAATTGCAACACAGTTAAAACCTCAACGTTCAAGGGAATTCTTTAGTTTTTCGTTAAGTTCACGATCATCATGATACCCTTTGTTTGACACTGCTTTGTCACTTTTAATCACGATAAAAAAACGAGCAAGGTAAAGTAGGAGTATCGAACAATCACAGACCCAGTGGGGAAACAATCAAAAATTTTGTTAATATATTTTGCTATTAAAAGATGTAACAGGCGAGAAACGCACATTATAACAACCTTCAACATTTCTAAGCAAAGAAAAAAAAACTATGAAACACGTCATAGATACCGTTAAAGAACAATATTACGAAGTATATAAATATTTTAGCAACTATCTTCTCGCGATATGTGGCCTAGCCAAAGGGCGAAGCAATCCTTAATAACCACTTAACAGCTCTACTTTCATATGACTACTAACCGACACTAGGTGCATATACATCTTGAACACTAATCCCACTATAAGCCTTACCATTTTTTACCGGTAGTTTAGAAAAGAAAAAAAAACGCTCGAATACTGCAGGAATCGCACATCACATCTAGACCAACCACGCAAATGCTTCCTATCCGTCGCACAATATATTAGGACTATGATTTAGCTCGAACCAGCACAACTTCATTCCTTTTTAAAACAACCACACAAAAATGCCAAACAAAATACAAGAAAAGGAACACAAACGATATCCAAGGACTGTAACCAAGAGCCGTTCTTTATAGAGTGCCTAGCGTAAAGGTTTTTAGGAAACGGAAAGGAATGAAACAGAGGAAATGCCAAACTAGAAAAAAAAAAACGTCGCGATCAAGCTTCTTAAAGCAAACAAAAAATACAAATTCGGAAAGCCAGTCAATTTTGTGAGAACAAAAGAAATCGAATATTGCAGAGTGCCGGTTGGAAACAAGTATAAGCTGGAATTGAAATTTAAACAATTTACTAATAATGTATGTATGCAGGAGGCATTACTTAAAACAGTTTGCTTCAAAACACACCACACTACCGTATGTGAGGTTAGCATACCGTTGTATTGTAGGGAATATTACTCAGAAATTTAGTGAACATAATTTGTAGGTAGTCGTTGCGTACAACTCTGCTTCCAATGTTTTCCGTTGATCGCGCTTCTGTACACTTAGTTTCTTCGGTTCTGATATTTAATATAGCATTTTCGTATTGTAACATTTCGGTTCGACTTATTGAGTCAGGAAAAAGAAAGAAATCCGGAATTTCAAGTATTTCTGTTAGTTTTCAAGATATGAAAACTTAATAATTTTTAATAACCTAGAGTTTCAACAGCTTTTTAACTTTTTCAAGTTTATTTTGAACTCTCTTTGGTATTCCTTTATAATTTTCGTCATAGAACTCTATGAATTCTTCCCAGAAATTTCTTCGAATATGTCCTGCACTGCCCATAAAAGCATAATTATCCCATCTTTGCTTAATTTCTTATTCATATGGGACAGTTATGCTTTTATGAGCATAATACATTTGTTTGCAATGTAATGCAAATTAAATCTCGTCAAAAGTGGTTTACCATTTTTCAAAATGTCCCAAAAAAAATTTTTAAACTGCAATGGGGCAAGAGTGCCATGCGTCTTAAATAGAGTGAAATCGATTAATGCTTGTTTATAAACAAAGCTTTTTGATTATTAATCATTCTAGCAACAGATGTAATTGGTTTTGTCTAATTTGGTGAAAACGAGCTTACCGTAGACTTAATTGCACAATGAAGCAATTTCTATGAATTTTTGAATAATTTAATAAATGTAGCGAAAGAAATTATTAACCTATTATAACTGCTTCAATAAATCATTATTAGTGATGCCTCAATGCAGGCATTGAAGGATTTTTGTTTATGGAATTTTTATTCCATTGCAATTGTGTTTAAGAGCTTTGATTGGTTTCTCGGGATCGAGTTTCAGGAAAGCTTGAGTTTCAAATAGGGACGGATCGAGGTCTGCCAAGACTTGCGGGTTGCTCGAGGACCATTTTCGTAGCTTAAATCCACCTTTCGCCAGTAATTCGTCCAGTTCCTTCCTTGTTTGGATTGCTTCTTCGATGGTTTGGGCGCCTCCTATGTAATCGTCGACGTAGAAGTTCTTCAGCAGTGTGGGTCCTCCTAGTGGATAATTCTGTCCTTCGTCTTCGTAAAGTTGCCAAACCGTAGGTCACCGTTAGCAGTTCACATATTTCGATGGGACCACCAAGGACAAAGCGCCAGAATATTCTCTGCAGGGTAGTGTCTTTAGGATCGACTAAAATTTGGCGGTACATTTTTTCAATGTCTGCGACAAATGCAATTTGGTACTTGCGGAAACGAAGGATGAGGGCGAGTAGTTCGTCTTGCACTACCGGCCCTACCAAGAGAGCATCATTTAAGGAGTATCCAGATGATGAATGTATCGATCCATTGAACACGACACGCACTTTCGTTGTCGTGCTTGATTCCTTCACGACAGGGTGGTGAGGAATATAAGATGCCTGGGAAGGCTCGTGCTCGCTGCTTGGAACGATTCGCAAGTGGCCCAAGGATTGGTATTCGGTAAGGAAATTCTGGTACTCCATTTTTAAATCAGGATCTCGATCTAGACGTTTTTCAAGCGACATGTACTGACGCAAGGCGACTGCTTTCGACTCACCCAGCATTGGATCAAAATCGAGGTGGCGTGGTAAGCGAACCATATATCTACCATCGTGTGTGCGGGTGACGTTGGAAACAAAATGCGACTCGCATTGTTGTTCTTCCACAGAAAGGTTTGGTGTGTTGCTAACTGCTTCCATTTTCCAGAAACGTTCGACGGCGTCTTGAAGCGGATCTGATATGGACACGTGGCAGGCGGTGACAGGTGGAACTGACGACGGCATCTGATTCCTCCCAACAACAATGCAACCGAATACACTCTCAACGAGCATGTGCTTCTGATCCTGTTCAATTTTGGTGCCAGGGTTGACAAAGGTGCAAAAGTGCTCTGCTCCTAGGAGCAGATCCGAGGGGGGCGACACATCTAAATCTCAATTCTTGATTCTTAAAAAATCTCACAGTAGCGAATTAATCTTCGGAAAATCATCTTGCATTTCTCGCATCTTCTCGCATCTACTTGCATCGCGCATCATCTTTTTGCAGGAAATCTTCAGAATCATCATAAATCTTCTTTCTATCTACTTAGTGTGCGCGCAGCTAGCCACAGCAAAACACAATCTTTCCTGCATCGGAGATAGAGTCGCTCCCCTCGAGCAGATCGATTGCTCCAGTCTTATTGAAGCTGGGATCGGCAAGGAATAGGTGTTGTGGAATACGCCCGTTTCTAGCTGGAAACGTCACAGCAGGCAAGTCTATCGTGATGCGAGTTAGAACGAGAAAGTCGAGGTCAATTTCAAAATCATTTTTCCTTGAGCAAATGGAAGAGTGAACGCTATGTTTCACGTTGGACGGCGCTTCACCAACACCGTAAATGGGAACGTTGACATTTCGGCGCCTTAGCTTCAAAAGCTGACAAAATCTCTCGCTCATTATGTTAGACTGAGAGCCACTACCTAACAATGCACGTGCGGGGTGCGTATCACCGTTTGAATCGACGACCAAAAGTACGACTGTTCCGGAGAAGTCGATAACATACAAATACCGTCTTTTAGTTGTGCCGAAGAAGAAACTTTAAGGCTGAAATTTATTTCAAAAGACTCAATGAGGTTATGTTTATAAAAGTGTTTTCTACTACTCACAAAACGGTATTCTTTTGTAGTTACCGGTTATCGACTATCTCTCGCTTCTTTCATGCGATGCGGACGATAATTCCTGACCTATCAAAGCACAACATTAGTTGCTAATTAACAAATATAGTTCCGTCTTACACTTATAGCTTTCTTTTGAATTTCTCCACCTAATTTCTCGTTCACAGATTAAAACGTTTTACACAAGCAATTTTCGTTTGAGAGTACATACAACGCGTTTTTCAGTTTTCGTCGAATGACACGTCATCTTCTTCCTATCATCGGACCAGTTGTTTAGGTAACCGTGTTCCCAGCTCACCTATTCGCTGCCCGGTCGAGGGGCCTCCACCACAACGACGGTGGATAGCAAAACATTCGAATTAGAAAGTGGTGTGGTGTGTGTTGTTGACTGGGGATGGAGCTCGTGCATGTGTAGGCGGTTGAGGTGACTGGAGCTTGGTTTCGATTTGATGATGGCCTAGACGGATGAAGAGCTTGGCTGTTAGGGCGTTGCGCAGACGAGAGGCTAGGAGCTTCGTTGTAGTTATTGGTGGTGTGCAGCATGGTATGGTCACAGACAAACAGACGTAACACTTCATTGTGTATCTTCGTTCACGCATTTAACGGTTGATTTGAATATTATCAGTTCCGCGAACCACTCGCCGCAGCGCTGGCATCGGATCACTTTGACGTTTCTATATATTCTATAGAACTTTTATGCAATATTGTTTGCTAGTTAGCGAGTAAGCTTGTTTTCCGCGAGAAGTCGTTACTGAAGTCCTATGTTTTGAGATACTGTTTTCAAGAAAAACTTTTTCAAAGAGTTACGTCTGTTTATCTGTGGTATGGTGTCTTCTCTGGCAGTGGAGGGGCAGAATTTTTTTTATGGAGAATTAGATTAGACGCCGATTAGCGGAAAACCATTATACCGAACGCTATTATACCGTATGGAGTACTAGCATAGAGGTAACTCTAAGACCACTGGGTCCCGAAGAAAATCATTATTTTTGGCTCACTCAATACCAGAACAACGGTCCCAAGCAGTCCCAAGCTATTTCACTCACCCCTGCATGTTCTGCATGAATCCACACACCCCTGATGTTATCTGTCAAACTTTCATAGCGAATCAAAACAAACATAGTGTAGTAATAGAATTTCAACTAGAATAGGGTACCTTAATCGTTTGCTTGGGACCAATAGGCTACTAAAGTGGTGAGCCAATTTAAAATCGTTAGTTTCGTATTGATTGTTGGTACTAGGTCGATGGTCGTTTAACCGAAACTGAATTTTCAGTCATGCTTCGGCATATGTCATCGGTATTTTATGAATTGGTATAAAAATACAACATGTTTATAAATAATTTATCCAGGGTGCCAGAACCGTTCAAAACTCTCAAGTTTCAAGTTTTTTTCTAGTGTGTATGTGTGTGTCATCCTCTATCCCTCACCCAGACGGGGGCGTTAGATAAGTAGAACTGCGAATAATTTGATCAAATCTCATGCCCCGTTATGTTGCCCTTTACGTTGTGAAGACTAGTTTGAAGAACTAGGGTAACTTTTGAGGCAAGACAGGGTGTCTTCAACAAGTTAAAGGAACATGATGCACAAGATATCCACAACCGGTACAGTAAAACATCACATAGACGCCCTTATTCACACTTACTAGAAGGTCAAAAAGTGCCACCGCTGCCAACTAAAGTTTGAACCGAGAACCTGATGGGACTCCCACGATATACCCGCGCCAATGGTCAGCAGCAGTGCAGTAAATTCTCAACATCGATTTTGATGAAAATGAGAAAAGCAGCTATCCGCTATCAAAGGAGACCTCCTTCGAATGGGTGATATCAGTTGCTTAGTCATTTGACGAAGGCATGGATGATTCTCATTTGAGAAACGCTTGATATCATTCAATTGCGTGTAACCTACACATAAACGAAGCTCTGGTCGACATTCCATGAGCATGAGCATGATTGACCGCCCACGGTTGCTACTCTGTTATTGCCCGCCCACGGTTGCTACTCTGTTATTGCCAGACCAGCTGTAATTACACAGAGAACCTGTAGACGATGCTTGGGACTAGCAAACATCCTTAACGTGTTAAGAGATGAACTAGCCTCAGGCTAAAAATCTCTAAAATAAAGACAAAAAAAAAAAAAAAAAAAAAAAAAAAAAACCTTAACGTGTATAAATTGGTGATCTCAAACTAGGCAATACCAGCACCGGCCGCGCCCGAACACAGGTCAAGAAAGAAAGGGGTAGGAATGTTTTGACGTGACACTCGCTTTGATGGAAGCCGAGAACACCTCTGCACTTCCACGAGGAATCACTGGGATATTGGGTAATAGGGCTGGGTTTGCAGCAGGGTTTGTTTTGGTAAACGATAAGCTGAATTGATGTTCTAACGATCATATAACGCGAAAGAGCTTGGGATTGAACCCACAGTCTTCTGCT